AGGCCGCATGCTAAATCTTTCATATACGTGGTGCTGGTGAATCCTCATCTTACAGAAATTCTATGTGGAAGGTCCTATGATGATTCTTAAGGTGAGAAAACAGGGTTAGGGGGCGGAAAACGTCCCCCGGGTCATCAAGCAGGTGAGTGTCAGAGTTTGGCTTAACTCGGCGTGTTCTGACTTTCAAAGGCACATTCTTTTCAGCGACATGGCTTTCTTTATCTTCGGGTGCGATTCTGACAGAAACACCACAAACGAGCGGCCGGTAAGGAGGGGTTTAGTTTCTCACAGTTCAGAGGGCTAGAGGTCTGGATTGAGGGCGGGGGCTCTAGGTGAAGGCTCTCCGTCAGTCGGCTCGCAAAGAGACCATGATTGGGATACATACAGTTTCCATGGAACACGTTGCCAGGTTGGTTCAGGGTCCTCTGACGAAGGCAATCAGAATGGGACTCATGACCACGCCGACCCTAAGACTCTCATTTCCACCACGGGTACCCCAGACTTCCCCTGCCAGGTTAGGGAAGTGGTAGTGACTCACTTTCTAACATGTTCCGCCTTGTCGGTTTATGGTCAGAAAGAAGGCTGCATCTTTGTGTAGACTCAAGAATGGCATTAGGGCCTTCATTGTAAATCATGTTATCAGGTGCCCATTGTTGCGGCCACTGGGCCAGCTCATGCTGATGAGGGTCTTCCTTTGTTCCGTGCCCCTCTACTTTACCGAGCCGGAGGTCCTTTTTCAGGGACCAGTCTCTCCTGTGTACATCCTGAGGATGTTCAAAGTACACGAGACAAAGTCTTGCTGCTAAGGAGCCTTCTAGCTGGATTTCTTCCTAAACATATTTGCTCTTCTGGCAGCCGTGGTACATCAATATTCTCCACCAGCGCTGTAGTTCACACACATCGATTCTCTGTCAGTCTTCCTTACTCACGTGCATAGAGGCCACTGAAAACACCGTGTTGGTAAGGTGCGCCTTTGCTCTCAAAGTGACGTTCAACTCATTAACAAGCTCATCTGCAGCAGATTTGCCCGATGCAGTGCATTATCTGATCTCTTGACAGCTGCTTCCCTGAGCATTGATTGTGGATCCCAGCAAGATGACAGCTTCAGTCTTTTCACGATGCTATCTATTGGTCCAGTTGTGAGAATTTTGGTTTTCTTTATATTAAGGATCACTGTCAGTGTAGATTAAGTTGCAATCCACCCTAAAGCCGGCAATTCTCGGTCTTTGTCAGCAAGAGCTTCAAGTCCTCCTTGCTTTCAGCAAGCAAGGTTGTGGCAGCTGCAAACTGACGGTTGTTAGTAAGTCTTCCTCCGGTACCACGCCCAAATCCTTCCTCATAGAATTCACCTTTTCTGATGGTTTGCTCAGCCTACAGATTGAAGAAGTACGGTGAAAGGCTACAACCCTGACGCCCACCTTTCCTGATTTTAAACCATGCAGTATTCTCTTGTTCACACAACTGCCTCTTGATCCCCGTACAAGTTCTCGATGAGCACCCGGCAGTGTTTGCAAATTCCCTCTTTCTCAAGGCTAATCAAAGTGGTTGTGGTCCACACAAACAAATGCTTTTGTAAGTAACCGTCTTTCTGTGAATCTCTGCTTTCTGTCGAGATCGCTCTGATGTCAGTAGTGATACACTCTGTTCCACCTCTTCTTCTGAATCCAGCTTGAATTTCTTGCAATCCCTCCTCAATGCATTGCTGCAACCCTTTTTTGGGGATGATCTCCAGCAAATTTTTACTTGCATGTGATACTGATGATATTGTTAATAATTTGCCTATTCTATTGGGTCACGTTTCTTTGGAAGGGGGACAAATATGCATCTCTTTCAGTTGATTGGCCAGATGTGTCTTTCAGACTTCTGGGGCTCCATCAGCTTGTTGAAACATTTCAGTTGGTACTCTGTTACTGATTGGAGTTGATTTTCACTAATGCCTTCCTTGCAGCTTGGACTTCTTCCTTCAAAACAATTAGGTCTTTATTATTATTATTATTTTAGCTTTATTTATTTACTGTGGTTATTATCATTGGTTCTTGATCATATACTTTTTGGCACAGTGACTCTGTATATTCTGTCTGTCTCTTTTGATGCTTCCTGTATCATTCAATATTTTGTCCATAGACTTTTTCAGTATTACAACTCGAGACTTGAATATTTTCCTTTAGTTCTTTCAGCTGGATATATACCAAACATGTTTTTCTTCTTCTTCCATTTACTTTCGCTATTATGAAACTTGAACTATGATCAAGATAGAGTTTCTGAGTCTATTTTGACATCCATTTAGATCTTTTCTCTCTCTCCTGTCTTTTAAGTGACTTTTCCTTCTTCATGCATGCAGTTCTCGATGTCGTCTTGTCATAAGTGCCAAATCCAATGAGTCAATCAGTCTTGAGATGTCCTTGACATTCAGATGGTATATGCTCAAGGTCATATTTTGGCTCTTGTGAACTTATTTTGATTTTCTTTAACTTCAACTTGAACTTAAATATGAACAATCGGTGGCCTGTTCCACAGTCAATCCCTGGCCTAGATTTGAATGCGAATATTGACCTTCTCCATGTCTTTTCCCCACAGATGAAGCCAATTTTATCCCATCTGGCAAAATCCTTGTGGATAGTACCTGTTTATGTTGTTGAAAAAGGGTCTTTGAAATGAAGAAGTCATTGGTCATATTAAGATCTTGTATCATGTGATCTCCAGTTTCTCCAATACCGTCCCTTCCTCTCTGTTCCTAACCTTTGTCTTTCAATCAGCAATAACTGTCAATGTCCCTTGATCTCATGTTTGATCAATTTTAGAGGGCACAAGTTGGTAGAATTCTATAATTTCGTGACCATTGGCTTTAGAGGTTGGCATTTAAATGTGCACAGTGGTTGCGTTCACTGGATTTCCTTCTTGGTGTTTAGAGATGATCCTGTCACCCAACAGCACTGTGCTTCAAGATTGATCATGATTGTGCTTTTGGATGACGGATGCGATGCCATGCCTCTCCGATTTGTCATTCCCTGCCTAGCAAGCCGTGTGACGGTCTGACTCCAAATAGCCATTACCAGTCTGTTTCAGCTCGCTCATGCCCGAGAGATCAAGCTTTAGGTGTCCCAGTTCAGTCCTTGATGCCAGTAAAACACAGCCTTCGGCAAACCTAGTGCTTAGACTCTGAGCTCCGACACACCCTAGGGCTTTATGATCAATGGCTCATCCTGGAAACGAAGAACGACCCAGTGAGCTTTGCTCCCCATGCAGAGGGACAGGGCTCTTGTTAGAACCAGCATTGGATAAAGAAGACGATGTTCTTGCACACCTACCGTGAGATCTCAGCTTTAAACCCATCTCTCTGCTCTCTTTTTCAACCCCCATCTGTCACAGAATAAGAGAGGGCTGTCTCTCCCTACCACTACCCAGCGTGTGGGATCATGAAGCCTGATCCTTGAGAAGGTGGACCCAGGGCCATCGTCGTGCACACCAACTCTAATAAGTGACCGCTCTTCATTTGGTCTTCCCCTTTGAAATGAAAATTTACTTTCTTTTTATTATTGTTGAGCACGTATACTCAGCAGACCATTCATCAACTCAACGTGTCTGCGTGTGCAGCTCAGTGGCAACATTGACTACATTTTTCAAGCTGGGTGACTATTCTCACCCCCCTTTTCTGAGTTGTTCCTTCCTGATGCCCAGACACGCCTTGCCCCCCACATCCTCTATCTCATCTTTCTAGTTGCTACGGTCAAGTTCATCCCACTGAGTTAGAGCTGAAGAGAGTGAAGTGTGCAAGGCAAGGGGCCGCTTTAAATTCCAAGGAGCTGTGGAGGCAAAAGGGCGAAGAGCCCAGCTAAACCAGATGGGGCCGCTGAGTTGAAAATTGTTACTGGATGGGGTCCCTGCACATTGGAACAGACTCCATGGGACCCCAAAACAAAGTTTACCTTCCATTCACCAGAGTTGTAAAGTTTTCTTTAGAGTCACGTTTTCACCTGCTCCAGGTGACACTGTGGCATCCGGAGGAGAACACAGAGGGGAGACTTCTGGACGATTGCCTTGTTGATAAAGAGGAAGAAAAAGCTGCCCCTGTGAGCAGCTGTGGGCAAGACTCGTCACAGGAAGTACTCCCTGCCCAGCTGAGCCCCAGTCAATCCGTTTGCTCTGCCCCAAGGCGAGTCTCTGATCCTCACCCCTGGGCCCCTGTGACAGCAACCCCGGCGGGTGTAGGATGGGGGTGTGGTTGACTGAATAATGACCCTCAAGAGGTCCACGTCTGAATCCCTGGGACCGGAGCATGTGATTTCACATGGCCAGAGGGACTTGGCAGAAGTGGTTAAGTTAAGGAGTCTGGATCCTGGATGATCAGGTGAGCCAATGTAATCACAAGGGTCTTTGTAGGATGGAGACATGTTGGGCAGAAACAGGAGAGTGAAGACGGAAGCAGGGGGTTGTGTGAGGGAGGTAAAGAGAGAGAGAGAGGGGGAGAGAGAGACTGGAAGATGCTTTGCTGCTGCCTTTGAAGAGGGAGAAAGGAGCCAAAAAATGTGGGGGACCTCTAAATGATTGAATGGCTGGAAAATGGATTTTCCTCAGAACCTCCCAAAGGAATGCATTCCAGACAAATGGTATTTGAACTTGTGACCTCCAGGACTTTAGGAGAGCAACGTTGTTTTGGGACAGGACATTGGATTTGGTAGATGCCGATCTCTTCTCCCCCCCACCCCCCCTTAAAACATGATGCCGACTGCAAGTTGTATGGGCATAGCTACAGAGATAGAAATGGAAAATGGAAAACTGAGTGAGAACTTTGACTAAAACAAAACACATAAAATAGGTGGCTTTCTCTTTTCTTTGGTGACAAGTCTTTAATTGTTGGAAATGAAGAGTTATGGTTCCCCATTTCCACTCCAAGCTACACCCACATTTTCATATCATAGCATCTGGATCCAGGTTAGACCCATGGGACCAGGATCCGGCTGCTGGCTCTGGGCTCTGCCCAGTCAAGCTTGTGAGTGCCCGGCCCCCCAGGTGGGCATGGAAGAGGTAAAAGCAGGTGGCAAACCTTCGGGGATATCAAAGTGCATTTTGTGCTTCTGTAAATCACATTAGGTATGACAAAAACACCTTCAAAACAACTCCACTTTACAACCTCTGTCAAGACATTTCATCTTTTTGTTATGAAATCCCTGACACCAGAAACTTGGTTCTTAGCTGCCCAGGATCCAGTTTCTCCAGTTAAACGCTGAATTGGACCCATGAGTCAGTGTCTTCACAGGCGGATCCACCAACTCCCATTTTCCTTCCTTCTTATTTTCTTCACAGAAGCACATGCCCAGGGAAGGGATCTAGAACAGAAATCTCAAATAATTATCTGTCTATGATGATAGGGCAATCAACTGCAAGCTGGTCTTAAAGCCAGCGGGCAGGTTTCCAAATGCGCATGCCTATTATGGCCTTGAGGCCTGCTGCTCTGAACACATCACCAATATCCAAGACAGCATTATTCTCAGCTGGGGATAACTGTCCACACAGGGGACAGCTGGTGGCATCTGGAGACATTTGTGGTTGTTACAACTTGGGGAGGGGGCTGCTATCTGGCATCCAGTGGGTATAAGTCAGGGAGGTCAGTCAATATCCTGCAGTACATCGGAAAGTCCCAGCAGAGAGAACAATCTTACCCCAAGTGCCAACAGTGCAGAGATGGAAAACTGGGGTCTACCAATGGGTGGCATGTGTGTGGCATATGTTTCTGCATCCAGTATCACAAGAAGACACATCCCCTGGGTTGGTGTCATATAAAGACATGAGTGTTGCGTTATCAGGGTCTCTGGATAGCACAGACAATTTGTGCTTACCTAAAGGTTGTTGAGTCTAATATCACTCAGTGCCTTCATGCAAGAAAGATTTGGAGATGTGCTTCTACAAGGACGACAGCAAACAGGACCTGCCCCCCCAACCAACCAACCAACCAACCAACCAACCAACCAACCAA